TTGTGAACGTTTAGCTGTTTGTTCTGGTTATTGTAAAATTGCTTGTTGTTCTTATCTGTTGGTGTCCAGTTGCGGTCTTCGTGGTAGAGCTGGGTGTTGCTGACTGGAAGGCGGCAAAAAAGTGATAGTGGGGCATAGTGTCTTGGATCTGTGTCCAGCAATGAGTTGGAATTCGAGACATCCTCTGTGGCATGCAACATGCTGACCTTTGCAATTGCTGCAAGTGGTGGCTTGTCTGGATTTCTGGCAATCAGTAGCTTGGTGCTCTCCAGAGCAGCAGACACAGTGAGCTTTGGTGGTACAAACAGAACGGGTATGGCAAAATCTCTGGCAGTTAAAACACTGGAGGACATGCCGGCTGGAGTTGTTTGGTTCTTCGACCTGGAAGTTTTTGAACCATGGGGCGATTCCGTCTTGTATGGCTTGCGTAGTTTGTTTTGGGTTTGTTAGGATGATTTTTACTAGTGGTGTTAATTCTTTGATGCATGGGAATTTTATTCGTTTGATGGTTGCAACTTCAAAACCTCGAAGTCGAAGCTCCTGGTCGAGTTCTTTTGGTGTGGATTCCAGTGGAACTCGCGGACCACGATGATTTCCGTGGGGACGTGGGGATTGATAATGAATCTTCCGAAGGCGTCCTTGGGCCTGGCTTTGTGAAGGCGACGATAATCGTTTGGTCGGGAACACTTGATGACCATTCCTCCCGTAAATAGTCGTCTCACGTTCGTGAATTCGATGTCTTAAAACAGTCTTCATAGCTCCGTGGCAATATGAGGTTGGCACATGGTGGCTAGTATTCCATCAACTACAATGGCTGGTGGTTGTTTCGGGTTGCTATCTTGGTTGTGTTGACTGTTGTTAGTATTGGTTATGGTTAGCGTCGGATCAGTTGTAGTTGTTGTTTCTTGGGTTGTTTGTTTGTGGTGCGGTCGGGAGGGGGTTAGGAACTTACAGTAATCGTGTGCTCAGTGGAAGACATGACATTTGACCAGTACTTTATTGCTGATATTTACACAAAGCAAAAGCTGTATCGGTAGCAAAATTTCGCAAGAAATTGACAGTTTAACTCGAGAGTATATATATATATATATATATATAATATATATATATATATATATAATGTAAGTGTGAAATTCCGCGGAAAGTTACAATGCCTTAGAGAGTAGCAGAAAATATTGAAGTAAATAGTTTGGACTGGAGAAGTGTCATGCGATATACAGAAAGTGAAATTTAGCATTTATATACATATACTTTTAAAATAGAAATTGAAACTTTTATGTTATTAAAATTTGATCTATAAGTTATGTTTAATGCCAACTTTATTGATATACATTGATAATAAGGTAGTTTAATCAAATTTTAAATGTAACTGTAAAAGATACTTGTATCGAAAGGGTTAATATCATTAGTATAAGAACAAGTCACTTACTGATAGCACGTAAAGCTGTTACTTTACATAGTGAAATTTAGCATTACATACACGGATATAGCCTTGGAAGGGGTCAGATGTTCTACTCGTGCTTGGGGTACAAGCCACAACCCTCATGCAGTGATAAACATAGTATTTTCCGTATTACAATATCAACAGTCGTAAAGGACGGGGGAAGAAGTCGTAAAAGTACCTAATTGTCCCAGGTCCAGTCCACGCAAGAATAGATCTAAATACCAAAAAATAATTTAAGGAAGATTGTAAAAATTTACAATGAACAATGAGTGAAAAGAGACAGATATTAGGTTAATGGACAAAGGAAGTTTCATGGATAGGCACTTTTAGAATAGACAAATTTTAAATTAATGCTACTTAGGATAAACAAATGGAGTTTCATGTTGTAATTTGAAATCATCTTAGAACGAAAAATGGGTAATTTATATTTATTTAAATTTTTTTTATGGTTATGAGGTTGTCAAATTGACCAACCTCGTATAGAGTTAGGATAGAGAAAATAAGAGATAAAATATAAAGTTTTACTGAAAAAATACATTGAAATTATTTAGGAGGTTTTAGAGATTATGCAAATAACATTTGGGATTTTGGAGAGGAAGAAAAGTAATTTTAATCTTAACATAAAAATCACGTTGCACCCGAACTGATCAAAAAAGACTCCATACACTAACGGACGAATCTTTAGAAAAAATACTTCAGTAAAAAAAAAACATATTTTTGTGTGTGCACAAACGACTTGTAATGTTTTTAAAACTCTCCCAAATTTTATGAAGATACACATATTTTGCAAGAAGTTATAGTATTGTTACGACAGCGGATTTCACATGACGCTGGTAACACGTGATGAGATTCTAGAAGGATCGGGGAACAGCAGGGATGTCCCAGCATTTGCTAGACGCCCTCTTTTTTTTGTATATAAGACAGCAGATAAATTGATAACAGAGATAATCGAGTCAAGCCATAAGAAAGTGTGTAAATCGTTGTGAATTATAGCGTGTGTTTAAGTTAAAGTGACTGTGGAAATTCTGTGTATTGCAAAGTTGTATTTAGAAAGAATAAACTAGTTTTATTTAGGACAGGACTTGTATCACTGAAGCTCCTCGGGAAGAATTTATACCGGAAAATTAACAAAT